TGTACAAAGGCAAGAGATTTAACCAGGAATCGACCCTTGACGTGCAAGTGCATAAAATTACAAAGAGACCGAGACCTTCCAATGTAGGTGCAGAGAGGAGTTTTCTGATTAAATTTCCACTGAAATGCTGTATAGCATGGCCTCTGCAAACTCTCAGCTTGTTATCTTGCCAATCCTTAAGGCTTTCATTTCGTACAGGACGACCTCTTGTCGATGGCTTCGTTATCGCGAACATGGAATGATAAGGACAAAAAAAAAACGTAGCAAATAGACGACAGATACTTAAATAAACTAAATGAGGTTATAAAAAACCGTTTCTCGGTCAAGATTGCAAAGATATATTTAGCCGAATAATATCACATATAAGTTGGCCTCCCTTTTTGTTATACAGAAAGTGTTGAGAATGGCCACTTCACAGCAGTGCATTCTGGTTGAGAGAGGTCGTTTAAAGAACGCTTGTGGTATACAACCACTGCAACACTGCTGATGAAACGCTTAAACGAAACGGTTTTAGCAAAAACGAAGACCCCCGAGAGCTAAGACACAAATTAAAAAATTCAACATTTCAAGACATCCTTTAGAAAATAAATAGTGAAGGACCGCATGTGGCTACTGGTATAGCACAAGTTTTAACACATTTTCTTATCTTATTGCAATTCCATTTTTTGAGACTTGTTTCATACCAAAAGGCATTTCGCGATATAGAATATTCCGTCATTCCGTGTCTTAAGATATTCCACCATTCCTCGCATCGCAAATTTAGCGGCTCTTTCGGCATAAGCCGCTGATTCAAACAGAATAATGCTCTCTTTTTATGAAGAAAAAAATTTTGCAAAGCTTTCATGATGTGCAGATCACATCTTTTGAGATATTTTTGCAAGGAAAAGTTTTGATTTCAATTATGCGTCGGTGGATGCCACTGTGAACTATTGTGAGATGTTTATCGTCTTTAGTAGTGTCACGGCAAGAACTGAAAGATTATGTCTTCCGATCTGGGCATCTGATTTAAACGGTAAAACGCTCTCTCTTCACAGAAAAAAAATCTGCTCTGTTTCACGATGCGCCGATCACACCTATTTCTGAAAGGAAAACACTTTTTTTTTAATCGCGTGCAATATCCTGAATTGATTGTGAGATGATTAACGTCTTCTATTGACTTCCGTAGTGTCACGGCAAGAACTGTAAAGTCGGTAAATATAATGTGCAAGTGGCTCTAAGCTAGAAATCACAAAAAGAGAGAACTCAACTGTGTATCGAATGCATATCGAATGCGAATGTCGAATCAATGAGATACACCGAAAAAAACAATAATTATGAGTAGCATCGGGAAACATCGGGTCGAAATTGGGTCAAGATCAGAATTCTATTGTTTCACTCACTCACTCACTCACTAATTTCGACAACTCATGCGGCTTCGCCTCCTGTAGGAGGCAGTAGCCACAAAAAAACGGCTCAGAGGCGCATTCGCTGCGAGACCACCAGGAGGCAACAGCTGATAAACCGCTGAGGAACGGTTTAAGGCAAGCGCTTCAACAGCGGTGATGAAGGCCTGAAGACAACCGTTTGATAACTGTCTAAGGCAACCGCTTGAAGACATCGCTAGTGAGCTTTTAAATACAACCGCTATAATACCCCTGATGAATGCTCGACGTTAGTTGCCACAAAACCGCTCATAATGGCATGAAAACAGTCTCAACAATGAATATGGAAGCGATCCTCGAAGTAATGAACACTTCTTAAGCAGTAGTGAAAATATGGCCTGAAAAAAAAAATCAGACCTGAACGGGATTTTAACCCGTGACCTCTGCGATATCGGTGTAGCGCTTTACCAACTGAGCTAACAAGTCAACTGGGAGCTGATCATTATGTTGGTTCCAAATAAACCCGTGAAGTGATGAATAAATGACCGTAGAATATATGAAAATCATATAGGTGAACTGCAGATAAAGAAATGAATAGGAAAGCGATCCTCGCAGTAATGAATAATTCTTAAGCAGAAGTGAAAATAGGGCCTGAAAAAATTCAGGCCTGTACGGGATTTGAAACTTATTTTTACTACTGCTGAATTTTTTTCAGGCCCTATTTTGACTACTGGTTAAGTAGTGTACATTACTACGAGGATCGCTTCCATATTCATTTCTTTATCCGCTGTGCACATGTGTGATTTTCATATACTTACAGTCATTTAGTCTTTACAATGTTACTCAGGACCACATAAAGACAACCAGCACTAAAAACGCCCAGTAAAACCGCTATTCTTGAATAGATGTCACTCACTAGAAAATTAGTGCTCGTGGCTCAAATGAAAATTCAGTTAATATTTAGTGTGTTAATAAATCTTTGCTGAGAGTTCTGAAAGAATTTCACAATACATTCATGCGCTAATATCAACGTTACTCTTCATCGTTTTGACTGAAAGATTCTCTCTGGTCACTTGGCGTTTCAATAAACTATTCGGTCTTATCACCAACGGGTTAAAAGAATATAACAACAGGTGATTTAAAATGAGTCCTCCATTTCTTTCAATATGCGAGTTTTAATCATCGACAAGCAATTAATCTGATCAAAGTTTTCGCCATCTTTTAAAATTTGTACCACTGCTTAGAAAACCAGATGGTGTGTCATGAAATGTTGGCAAATTAATTGAACGATGTTATTTTGCATGAGAATCTCTGAAGAGTAGAGTAACTACCAGGCTATTGTGCGAACGACTACAGTCAAGAAGTTTAGCCACATCGACGGCGTGTCAAGGTTCTCCGACTGGGAAAGGGCAGTCAGACTGATAAATTATATGACAGGAACTTTCATTGAGAACAAGTTGAAAATAGTCACCACCACAGCAGCCGAAATACGAGAAACTGAAAAGCTAATCTTTTTATAAAGAGTAACAACAGACAACATTCAAGAATTAAGTATAAGCCGTAAGGAATGGAACGCTAAAAAACAAAAGTAAAAGTTCCCTATTTAGGTTGGATCCGATGATCAAAATCAATGATCGATCGATGATCAATGAACGGTGAGAGTCGGTGGGAGGCTTGAAATTCCGCCTTACCATTCAGTGTTAGACATTCGGTAATCTTAACGGAGCGTTTTCAATTAACATCTTATTAAAAACCAAGGAAAAGCAATGAGCATGAACGAGTTTCGCTCTCATCTCGTGTCGAAAATCTACGTTGTTGTAATGAATATATGTTTTCGCACAATTGACTTATCTAATCACATAGGGTAGTGGCGCCCTGAACACGATTTCGTGCGAGGTACTATGGACGGGGAGAGGAGAGAGCTGGGCGGACAACTACGCACTCAGTGAGAATCAGTCAATGGGTGTTTGAACTGGGCGCGCGAATATCTTCATTTGCGTTAATTGTAGGACAGCAGTTTTTAGAATTCACGCGTCCACTTGTGAGGCATGCAGAGAATACAGCCAGGGGGTTTCATTCGAAGAAGGATGAAGCACTTTGCCAATGGCTGCAAACCTGCTAATAACCAGCTGCGACCAGCAAAGATGTTGTCTGGCTCGGAGCTGATTTGCGACACTTTCGCGTAACGCTTCTGCGTTAGTCACTATTGCGTTACGATATCGTGATTGACTTTTAGACCGATCATGCGTATTTTTACTGTCTTCTCAAACTATTGCTACGTTTTGTTAAATAAACCAGGTCGAAGGTTTTATTTTTGCTTAACCGTTTTTCTTGTTCAATTCGCCTGTAAAATCGCCCGTAATAGATGGGAGATGCATAAAGCTTTTCACGCAGCACGAGTATCAAGTACGTTATAAAATTATTGCAAAATTAAAAAAAGTAAAAAAAAAAAACAAAAAAAAAAAAAACATGCGCGTTGCATGCGATCCATTGGGAACCAGTGAAATCTTGAGTTAAAATTCCGGCAACATAAACTTAAAAAAAGGGAGGCAGAGGGATATTGTACAGACACGTTCAGACTAATGATCATATGACGCAGAACTACATTAAGACGCTTTACAAACAAACAAAGTCCAAGTGAGGAGTCAGCTCCTGAAACATTCATTGGCATGAAGGATGATAAACGTGATCATCAAGATTCAAAGTTTTGAGCATGTGTTTCAGAATTTGAATGAGCGTCGCCCATCCACTATCGTTGTAAAAGTCTATCGATGGAAAACTTAACAGAACTCCATAGTGTTTGCTCATCAATTTAATATAAAGTAAACTCATCTATGTAATTGAATAAAAAAGGCCTGAAAAAAATTCAGGCCTGTACGGGATTTGAACCTTAATTTCACTACCGCTTGAGTAGTGTTCATTAATGCGAGGATCGCTTCCATATTCATTTGTTTATTCGCAGTTCACATATATGATTTTCATATATTTACAGTCATTTAGTCTCTACATTACTGCTCAGGACCACATATAGACAACCGGCACTAAAAACGCCCAGTGCAACCGTTATTCTTGTATGGATGGCACTCAATAAAAAATTAGTGCTCGTGGCTCAAATGAAAATTCAGTTAATATTAGGTATGATAATAAATGTTTGTTGAGATTTCCGAAAGAATTTCACATCACAGGCATGTGCTAATATCAACGTTACTCTTCATCGTTTTGACTGAAAGATTCTCTCTGGTCACTTGGCGTTTCAATAAACTATTCGGTCTTATCACCAGCGAGATAAAAGGAATATAACAACAGGTGATTTAAAATGTGTCCTCCATTTCTTTAAATTCGTAAGTTATAATTATCGACAAGCAATTAATCTGATCAAAGTATTCGCCATCTTTAAAATTTGTACCACTGCTCAGAAAACCAGATGGTGTGAAATGTTGGCAGATTAATCGAACAATGTTATTTTGCATTAGGATCTAAGGGTAGAGTAACTTGATCTAATTATCCACTAATGTGAGGTAAATACAAACGTTAATGTTATTATTTTGAAAAAGTATCGGGAGCTTTCAAGATGTAGGAAAACACACATGTCGCATACAGCAGAGTTCACACTTTGTTAAAATGACTTATTTATTCCAGGGACTTGTCCAACAACCAGTTACAGGATTTACCACCAGGAGTGTTCGCTGGCATCAAGGTTTCCAATTGGGTAATGTTGACGCTGTAAGTAAGACTCCTATACTACAAATCAACGTCAATGAAAAGCAAAACAAAAAATCAGAAATCAATAAATTGAAATTAAATGTGGTTAACTATGAAGCCAAACATCCAATAGCTCGAGCCACCGCTTTCTGACCGTCTATAACTGCTTAATAAGATCACATAAAGTCTCTTGTTTCACAAAGTTTGTATTATAGCTGACGGTAACGAAATAGTTTTTTCGCCGTGTTGTTACTGTTTAATCAGTAAAAATGATTGCCCCTAAGGGTTCCTCAAAGTAAGTATTGAAATGTGTGTCCCGAGGGGTTTAGAGGATACATCTTTTTAAGATGATTTTAAATATTTCGTTAAGTTTATCAATTCAATTCAATAAATGAGGCTGAATAAACAATGAATCGATTGTAGTCACGAGCGACGATTATCCTTATGATACATTTCCAATCGGTAAACAGCTTCAGATGTTTGAATGATGGACCATGCAGGGTCAAATGATAGCACATAAAGTTTATCATAACAATCTGATTATTACTTCTTCAAATTTTAGATTTCATTTTCATTCCAGCCAAGTAATCGAAAAATTGTGTCTCATGGTTTTGAAATCATTACCTCTACTTGGATGTGCAGATAGTATCAACCTCAGAAAATGCAAATAAACAATGCTATTCGGCCTTAGGATAATGAAATATTAATTAAGCCACTACGTTAATTTCAGTGAGGCCAATGAAGATATATCCGATAATGTTAAAAATAGTTGCACATTATTTATATCGTATCAGGAGTTTTTTTAATTATATACTTTGTCATGCACCATGCAGATATTCCTTTTAATCTGGGTTATAACTCATATAAATTTCTACGAACTGACTCAACATTTTTCTTTAACACGAGGTTGTTTTGGAGAAAGTGCCATCGTGACTTATTTTCGATCGCTTCAAACACTTGCTTTTTTTGCAAAATACGTGAATCAATCAGCACGTTGTATCAAGATTTCTTTCAAACCGATAGAAAGTGTTTGCGAAATGCCGCGTACGAACGATTACAGTCGACAGAACATGTCTGTGGTGGAGCTTTTCATCGAAATTTTCAAAAAGAAAAACTGTCCGAATCAGCTGTTGTAATACATAGATTTTGAAACGAAGTACGAAACCATCTTTTTACAGTGTCAGCCACTGTTTCATCGATAGCTCAACTCTAGCTCGTTCATCAGCATGTTTGAAGGGTATCTTTTGAATATTTCCCCATCTTTTATTTTGGCTTGGTTCTCTTAACAGAAATAGAGAGCGAAAATGTTTTCTTCTTTGTGCATTGTTTACGGCGTCGAAGTTTCTCCTGCTCTGGCCCTTTAAACCCCTTTCCTGTACTGCGAAACCACGGCTTGATTGTAAGCACAAGAAACTTCTTCAGTTGCGTGGATTATTTGAGCTATGGTACCGTCGCACTAGATTAAATGATATGTGAGTTTTTCTACCCAAAACTGACGTTCCTTCCCGAATTGGAAAGACACTCTAGGGCGCTCGGTAGCATGTGTAACACAATTTATTCAGTCCAGCGGATTTGACATCATATCAAGAAAAAAGTCAATAATCGTCTTTGCCTTGTACCACCACTCGATTCGAAGATGGCAGAAAGCGATTGTATCTCGAAGTATTGCTCCTCCTTTGAGCGAGGCAACACTTACTCCTGGAATATCTAATGATAATAATAATAATAATGATAAAGATAATAAAAATGATAATAATAATAATGATGATAGTGATAATAACAGTATAACTTTATTCACAATTAGAGATTATTTTCAAGATACAATTGATAAAATGAACATACGAAATTTCATAAAAATTCAAAATTATGTATAAGACAAAAGCATTTAGTTTGAAAATTGTCCCACTCCAAAACAAAGAAAAAAAACTTTAGATTCCCGCAGTGGCGACGTTTATTTTGCAGTCTGAGGAGTGTTCTATCTTGCTGTGAAAAGGTGTTCGTGATCCTCTCACGCATGCGTGTGCCGATCTTAGATGTTCGAAAGAGATTTGTGTCCTGAGCCATGCGATAACGGTGTTATACGGCTCGGTGTCCTTCTGAGCTATCTTATCTGCAAGATGCTTCAGGAAACGCTGACACTCATTTCCCATTCCGCCATTGGTTCCAAACACTAAAGGTGTGAATGAACCCATCTCTACATCTAGCACCCGCTGCTGGTACTTGCGTTTCTTCTCGTCCTCTTGCTCCTTGAATACTTCAGATGCTGTCTTGTTCTAGTAACACTCTAATCTCCTGCTTATTAAGGGCTAAGCCCTGATCTGCGAGAGGCATCGCATTTAACCAAGAACTTGCGCCCTTGTCTCTCGATTGATTAACTAGTCGCAGCAGATCTGGGGAAAGAGTTGAGTTAATGCCTTCCATTTTCTCTTTGTCACGCGCCCTCTTAAGTGACTGATGATGTCTCTTAAGCTCCTCCGTAAAGCTTTCGCCTGGCGCCATAAATGTACTCTGCGATTTGATAGAATCTACGCGCGCAGTAGTTATTGACTTCGAGGCAGCTAACTGTTGTGGCGCCTCAGCTCTCAAATCTGGCATGCCCAGACCCCCTTGAGCCGTTGTTAAGGTGACAAGTAGACGCACCTCGTTAGGGAGAGGCTCTGATTGACCGAACAAAGATGGAAGAAGTAGGTCGTCAATCGCCTCCTGGATTGGATCGACATAATCCTCAAACGAATCTATAGTGCGCATGAAGTAGGTGAACTTTAACTTGCACCCTTTTATGAAGACAATGTACGCTGTGTGAGGCTGACTCTTTTCAGAGCCGCTCGATTTCCTCTTTCCATATGCGAATTTTCTCCTCACAATATTGATCTTTGTATTCTTGCGACGCAATGACTGCTCCTTGATGGCGCTGACCTTCAGTTGTTTATTGACTTCATCTCCAAACACCCTCTTTGCTTCATCTGCAAGTGCCTCAGACTTAACAATCAGCTAGCACTTTGACCCGTTCACGAGATATCCAAACTTTTCTCCCTCTTTAATCAATTGCTTGTATCAGTCGTACAACTGCGCGATTCTCCCTCCTCCAGCAGAGTCGTCTGCAAGCCACACCTGTTTAACCATCGGGCAGTGCGCCCTCAGATTCTGAATCATTATAGATGTATTGACTGAGTACCATGGCATCGCTAGGGGATCCCCTTGCGTAGTGCCTTCTTGTGAAAGTGTTTCACCTCCACCGCAGATAAACGGTCTAGATGGGCTTCTATAGGTGTTTATTACATAGTGCGCCATTTCTTTGCATGTGATCTGGATACTGTGCGAAGCCGCTGACCTGTTCATTTGCTTAAAGGCGTTACTTGCATCGATCAACAGAATCCCATCTGTTCCTTCTTCTTCAAACACTTGGCTCATTGTATGTATCGCAGCCTCCACTCCTACATTATGACCAGCACAAACTTGTAGGGGACCTGCCGCTTCTTTTATTTCCTCCTTTAAAAAACCGCTGACCATTTTTCCCATTATTCGCCTCACGACCTCTCCAACGCCGATTGGTCTAATTCCAGGGTTCTTGTCGAGCGGGCGAATTTCTTCATGCCAAGTTACCGTGGGGTCCCCGGCGAGACTCAGTTTAAAAGGGAGGCAAGGTTACCTAGCTGGTTTTCAACGGTCGTGTGTCAAGGTTGATGTGGACGCGGGCTGTTAGAAACCTCTGAACTGGAAATTTTTGAAGCAAACTGCGGCTTAGCGTCGGTTGCACGGAGAATATTGAGTTTGTAGGGAATTGAAATGAAACTACAGTATGTGTGCTTGGATTCTGCGTTGGATTTGTGGCTGCCCGGTCATTTTGCGCTGGAATTTTTCGCTTCTCAGATCGGGCGTTCGGAAATGGAGTGTTCAGCCTTGGGCTTTTCTTATGTACGTTGAAAACCTCGAAATGGACAACTCGCTAAAATGTGTTCTTTTCATCAAAGTAAGCGGTCAGATAACAAGCAATACGCTGTGGAAGTAAGGTGAGGTACATTTTTTGAGAATTTGACGTATTTTTTTATTCCTTAGAGCGGTCGTAAATATTCCCATACAAACTCTAATAATTCCGCCATGACTGTTATTGCGCAAGATTATCATATCACAGCTGGAGCTTGGGCCGCCTGTGGTGAACACAGCTATCTCTTCTCTTAGGATTTTACCCTCAGTCTTAAAGTTCTTAGAGCACAGGATTCTCCTATAAAGCTCCGAGTCCATTCCCGATGGCCATGCTGAGCCCTTGGTTTTGCTTGCTGAGTTGTAAATCATTTCTTCGTCTATGAGATCATACACGTTTGGTGGAATATAATCAACTGGACCGTGCAACAAACTCTCCTCTGCAATATCAGCCGCCTCTGGGTGATAGGTCGAGCAGGCCAGACGAACTCTCGTTATCTAGGAGTTTCATTGCAGCTGACAATTTTCCTTGCAGAAGCAGTTTTCAAAAAACTTTGGATACGTCCTCGACCGTCCTAGCTTTCTTAGAGTTCACAAATTTCCCCTGTATAAACCTCACTTCTTTAAGCAACAAATCAAGGTCCCCTTGTTTCCAGAGAGCTAATCGACCCTCTATTGCTGCGCTGTGTTCCTTGCTTTTAGAAGTAGCAGACGCTTTTTGCAGGATCAAAAATTGGGAGCACCATGAATGCTTTCAAGGCAACTGAGTTCAAATCAGAATCTGCATTGAACTGCTTAATCCAGAAAGTTAATTCTTCAATGAAACTCTTCCCTGCACGGCTAGATGGTACATTGGATATATTTTTCCTGTAGTAGACGATTTCGTCGTAAACACAATTGACAATATTACAGAAGCTCGCGTGGCTAATATTACTCCATGTTTTGTTCTTTATTTCGGAAGGAAACGACTCATAATCGGGCAGATTTGGTTTGATTTTGTTTGATCTGTGACTATTGTACTAGCCAATCCCGTGGGAGAAGGTACTCGGCCACTCTCGGTTGTTACTGGCTGATGAAAATCCGAGATAACGGAATTAGCATTTT